CAATCCAGCTTTCCTCAAAACCACGTCAAACGATGGTACTGCTGCAGCATATCAGATCACTGTGCACATATACTCAGTTGGACATATTATCATAAAAAAGAAAAAGATGCGCTCTCCATAATTTCATCAAGAATAAAACACCAATTTAATGTGGTAAATACACTTACAATGAAAAATGACAATTAGGCACTTCATATCATATAAACAACTTGCATTCCAGAATCCAAGATGGCTGCAGTGGGATCACATATACATAGTGACGTGTGTACTGTCTCTGCCTTGCTAGTTTAATCAACGATGACGTCATCATGACGTCATCAGGAACAATATTTATACACCAGATCTGAAATCTCAGCTAGTCCATGGTGTCAATTTTTATCACATTTGATCAAATATGACTAGAGGGCACCTAAAGCAATTTGTAATAGGTTTGCATTAGAACATTTTCAATCACAGTTATTTATTGTATAATAAGGGCCAGTCAGATTATAGTTGGCCAATGGCCAATCGGCTATTTCAGATTTTTTTTTTTTTTTAAAAAAAACTGAAGAATTATACAACAATTTTTATACACCAGATCTGAAACCTCAACTAGTCCAAGATGACAATTTTTGTCAAATGTGATCAAATATAACTAGAGGGCATCAAAAGTATATTATATCAGATTTGGTCATTGCACTAGAATATTTTCCTTCAAGGATATTTAATAAATATTAAGGGCCAATCAGATTATAGTTGGCTTATGATGACCAATCAGCTATAAAATATTTATTTTTTAGAAGAACTGAAATAATATATATATATATATATATATATATATATATATACTGTATTTTCCGGCATATAAGACGACTGGGCGTATAAGACGACCCCCTACTTTTCCTGTTAAAATAGGGTTTGGGCTATACTCGCCGTATAAGACTATCCCATGTCACTGCCCCCCCAAAGGTAACTGTCCTCCCCATGTCAGGCCCCCCCATGTCACTGCCCCCCCTCATGTCACTGTCACTGTCCTCCCCCATGTCACTGTCCTCCCCATGTCACTGCCCCCCCCCAATGTCACTGTCCTCCCAATGTCAGGCCCCACCATGTCACTGACCCCCCCACATGTCACTGTCCTCCCCATGGGGGACAGATCTTCACGGGAGACAGGTCTTGCAGCTACACCGGCTCGTAAGTTCCAGTAAGTTTTGCCAATCAAAGTGCTCTGTTACTGGGGCGCTCAGGTTTGGTTGTGGGGGAATGGTCGGCATCTCCAGATCCTCATGCTGTAGAAGGGCAGATGGAAGGTTCTGACGGTGCAGCTGATCAGACATTGGTCATCTCATCTTCCAGCTTGGCATCGTCTGTCTCTTCCAGTTCAGCGTCCTCGTCTTCCTCCTCCGATACCGGCTTATAAGACGACACCCCGGCGTATAAGACGACCCCCGACTTTTGAGAAGATTTTCATGGGTTAAAAAGTCGTCTTATAACATTTTCCATCCTGGATATTTAATGTATAATAAGGGCCAGTCAAATTATAGTTGGCTTACAATGTCCAATCAGCTATTAAAGATTTTTTATACAACAATATTTCTACGCCAGATCTGAAATCTCAACTAGTCCAAGGAGATAATTTTTATCAGATTTGACCAAATATGACTAGAGGGCACCTAAAGCATGTTGTCATAGGTTTGCATTAGAACATTTTCCATCACAGATATTTAATATATAATAAGGGCCAGTCAGATTGTAGTTGGCCTACAATGGCCAATCACCTATGGCAGATTATTATTTTTTTTTCTTTTTAGAACAAACTAAAAAACTATACAACAATATTTATACACCAGATCTGAAACCTCAACTAGTCCATTTTTTTTCAAATGTGATCAAATACGACTAGAGGGCGTCAAAAGTATATTTTAATAGGTTTGGTCATTGCAGTAGAACATTTTCCTCAAGGACATTTTATAAATAAGGGCCAATCAGATTATAGTTGGCTTACGATGGCCAATCAGCTATAAAATATTTCTTTTTTTAAAGAAGAACTGAAATATTATACAACAATATTTATACACCAGATCTGAAACCTCAACTAGTCCAAGGTACCAATTTTTATCACTGTTGACCAATTTTGACTAGAGGGCATCACAACTATATAATAATAGGCTTTAGTGTATTGAGCGAATGTCACATTTTTTTAATTCCCGCCAGTTCCACCCCCTGTACCATTACATTAGAACATTTTCCATCATGGACATTTAATGTATAATTTTTTTTTCAAATTTGTTCAAATATGACTAGAGGGCATCAAATAAATATTATTTTAGGTTTGGCTATTGCATTACAACATTTTCCATCATGGACATTTAATATATAATAAGGGCCAGTCCAATTATAGCTAGCCTACAATAGCCAATCAGCTATTACAGATTTTTTTTTTTTACAGAAGAACTGAAATATACGACAATATTTATAGACCAGATCTGAAATCTCAACTTCTCAAAGGTGGCAATTTTTTTTTATCAAATTTGACCAAATATGTCTAGAGAGAGCACTTGAAGCATGTTATAATAGGTTTGACCAGTGCATTAGAACATTTTCCTTCATTTATAATTATAATATATGGGAAAGCACAGTGGCTAAGTGGTTAGCACTTCCACCTGGCAGCACTAGGGTCGTTGGTTCAAATCACCGCCACGGAACTACCTGCCTGGAGTTTGAATGATCTCCCTATGCCTGTGTGGGTTTCCTCCAGGTACTCCAGTTTCCTTCCACACTCCAAAGACATGCTGGTAGGTTAATTGGCTCCTGTCTAAATTGAGTAGGAAGAAAAAAAGCAACCAAATGCCTGAGCCCCTACGCTGGACAATAGACTCCACAATGTCAATATCCCTACATGTATATGAAAGGAATGCAAGCCTTGCTGTATTCAACGGACCAGGGAAATCTAAATTGACCCTACTATGTGTATGTAGGAGTGTAGGTTAGGGACCTTAGATTGTACACTCCTTAAGGGCAGGTCTAAAGCTAGCCTACAGTGGCAATCAGCTATTACAGATGTATTTTTTTTTTTTGAAAGAAGAATTTAAGTATTACAGAACAACATTTATACACCAGATCTGAAACCTCAACTAGTCCGAGATGACAATTGTTATCAAATTTGACCAAATATAACTAGAAGGCATCAAAAGTAGAATATAATAAGCCTGGCCATTGCATTAGAACAATTTCCAATCATGAACATTTAATATATAAATAGAGTCAATCCAATTATACTTGGCCTACAATGGGCAATCAATTATAATAGGTTTCTTTTTGATGAAAGACAAAGAACTGAAATAATAAATAAAGGTATCTGTACACCAGATCTTAATATTCAAGTTGTCCAAAGGGCCATTTTTTAATCAAATTTGACCAAATATGACTAGAGGGCATCAGTAGTATCTTATAGTAGGTTTGGCTATTGCATTAAAACATTTTCCATCATGAACATTTAATTGTATAATAGGAGCCAATTAGATTATAGTTGGCCTACAATTGCCAATAAGCTTTAACAATTTGTTTTGGAAGAACTGAAATAATTTTACAAAGGTATCCATGCACCAAATCTGAGTGCTTAACTCGTTCAAAGTGCAAATTTTTATCAAATTTGATCAAATACGACTAGAGGACACCAAAGGCATATTGTAGTAGGTTTGTCCATTATATTAGAAGACATCCATCACTGATAATTAATATATACATATATATATATATACAGTATATATATATATATATATATATATATATATTAATAGCTGATTTTTGATGAAAGGAGAAGAACTGAAATATTATATGAGGGTTCCCATGCACCAGGTTTAAATCCACAGTATCAAGAGTATCAAAAGCATATTGTAATAGTTTTTGGTCATTGCACTAAAACATTTTCCATTGTTGACAATTAATATGTCATAAGGGCCAAACAGATTAAAGTTGGCCCACAATGACCAATTAGGTAAAACAGATTTCTTTTTTATACCAGGCTGGAAATTCCAGGTAGCTGATTTTTTTCTTAATAAAAGAAGAACGGAAATATTAGAAAACAGTATCCATACACCAGATCTGAAACCTCAACTAGTTCAAAGTGCCAATATTTATCAAATTTTGACCAAATATGACTGGAGAGCATCTAAAGTACTGTATATTGTAACACTTTCCATCATGGACATTAAATATATAATAAGGGTCAAACAGCTTACACTTGGGCTATAAAGGCAATTCAGTTGATTTCTCCTAGATTGTAAGCTCTAACGAGCAGGGCCCTCTGTTTCCTCTTGTACCAAATTGTATTGTAACTGTTATGTCTACCTTAATTTTGTAAAGCGCTGTACAAACTGTTGGAGCTACATAAATCCTGTTTAATAATAATAAAATATTATTTCTTTTTGATGAAAGGAGAAGAACTGAAATATTATATGAGAGTATCCATGCACCAGATCTGAATCCTCAACTAGACCATCGTGCTTTTTTTTTTCAAATTTGAGCAAAGACAAGTATAGAACATGAAAGGAATGTTGTAATAGGTTTTGCCTCTGCATTAGAATATGTTCCATCACAGACATTTAAAGTGGTTGTAAACCTCAGACATGAAATATGCACAAAGCATATCCCTCTTTAGTGTGTGCTCGTCTCACTCAAGAGCACTAAGGGGTTTATTTACTGAAGCTGGAGAGAGCAAAATCTGGTGCGCTTCTGCATAGAAATCAGCTTCCAGGTTTTTATTGCCGAAGCCTCATTGTACAAGCTGAGGTTAGAAGCTGATTGACTACCATGCATAGGTGCACCAGATTCTGAGTGCACCAGTTTTAGTAAATCTTTCCCTTAGTGTCATTTGTGTCTGCTGCCTGGTTCCTCTGCTATAAGCATGAGTCATTTCTGACAAGTTTTCCTGACACCAAGAGAAAAACGGTCACAGTGGAGGGCTCAGCCTGTGATTGACAGCCTCAGCTCTGTTCCTGTGTGTTGTGTGAAAGGGGGGTGTCTCTTCCCTCCATTCAGGTCTCAGGCTAGGTTCACATCTGTGGTGTGGATCTGCACAAAAATCCGTGCAGGCGCACCACCCGCACAGAGGAATGCGGACCCGCGGGCGGGTGCCATTGGTTCTAATGGCACGCCGCCCACATTGGAAAACACAACCGTACTGGGAACCGAGGTTCGCGTGCGGGCTCAGTTTTCAGAAGAAGTGCAGGGACTTCTTCCCTGCGTGTCACGGGAGGCCATTCAAATGAATGGACCCTCGTGCCCATGCAAAACGCGGCCCGCACGGGTGCATATATGTGAACCAGAGCTCAGAGCTCTCCTCACTGATGTAACTTTAACTCTCTACTTCTGATTTTAAGAGCTGAGAGGTCCTGTGTAAATTCTGCACCTTGAATGAATGTAGGGGGACGACAGCGGCAGATAAACAGGTACAACTTATGTGGGAGGATTTGTTTCATCTGTATCATGTATCGCTTGAGGCCAGTCACTTCACTGGGTATATGTAAGGGTTTACAACCACTTTATATATAATAATATATAATATATAAAGGGCCAGTCATAACTTTCAAAGGGCAATGCAGACTGTATAACACAGCCTTTCTTACTTTGGAGTAACAAAATCATTTTCAAGTCTTGATCAATAAATTGTAGAAAGTTTTAAATTAAAAATGAATAAGAAATGATGTATGCACAGAGCAGTCTTTCCCAACTGGGGTTTCTTTAGAAGTTGCTAGGAGAAATGTCTGCTTCTCAGGTAAGTAACCACTGACAGCGATGATCTTTGCAGCTATCTGTAAGGAGGGATATTCTTCCCACTGACCATCACACTAATGTGCCATGAGCTGCAGATATAGTCATTATTAGGACGGGTGTCCCTGATGACGTCTTTTGATGATGAAACACGTAGGGTGGAGTCATGGCTTGTGACGTCATCACACTGGCATAAACCGCAGCTATCTTGTTAGTTGGAAACATTGTATTGATATGCTGGCATTTATACTGAAGAAAGTAAGTGCTTTACTGTGAATAAATTTGGGTGAAGTGGTTTTACTTTGAGCTGGCTTTGTTCTCTTCTGTGGTGTTTGTTGCCATGAGAGAGATTTGGTTTACATGAGATTGGAATCGGAAGAAGTGCTGCACACAAAGAGGACCGATTGATGGTTCACATTTGGTAGTCTGCTTGCCATCGTTTGGGCCTGAAAACTGCACTATTTGACCAATCCTTAGGGTGGTCAAGTCCTTTGGTAAGAGGCCGTGTGATTGGGTGGATGGTGGAGGATTCTTCTGTCTATGCCTTTCTTTCCAAGCACCAGCACTTGCAAACCTATGAGGACTTTGCATGAACTGAAAATGTGATAATTTTGTATGGATTTGCACCCTGCCTTTTTCACTATTGGGGTAGTTGTTTGTTTACAACTTTGTATGCTTATAGCATCTTGTTAGCGCTGCACTTATAACTACAGGCATACCTCGGTTTACGAACGTCTCGGTTAGCGTAATTTTCGGTTTACGAATGAAAATCCATTGAAAATAATGGCTCAGTTTATGAACTTTTTTTTCACAATACGAACGGATTAATTGGCTTTCAATACTATGCCTTTAAAGTGCACTTTATAAAGAGTTTTGAACAGATAAGACTTTTTTTTTTTTTACTTTTTTTCTGACCTCTGGAATGGATTAATTGGTTTTCAAGGCATTTACAATTTTTTTTTTTTAATAATATCCCTTATACCTTTAAAGTGCACTTCATAAAGAGTTTAGAACAGATAAGATTTTTTTTCAATTTTTTTCTGACCTCCGGAACGGATTAATTGGTTTTTAATGCATTTACGAATTAACTTTTTAATCATGTCCCTATACAGTATTTATGCCTTTAAAGTGCACTTTATAAAGAGTTTTGAACAGATAAAATACTGTTTTTTAAACTTTTTTCTGACCTCCAGAATGGATTAATTGGTTTTCAATGCTCTCCTATGGGAAACCGTGTTTTGGTTTACAAATTTTTCGCAATATGAAAAGTCCAGCAGAACTATTTAAATTCATAAACTGAGGTACGCCTGTATTTACCATATGGAAAAGCCTGCTTTTACTGGCTACAGTTTTCCGGCTCGTAGAACTATGTTAATCTCTTATCCACATCTACTGCATCAGTCTTCAACCTCTGTATTACTAGATTTAGTAACACTGGCCCAGGGGCGGACTGACCATTTGGAAACTCGGGCACTGACCGAGGGCCCGGGGTTAGTAGGGGGCCCCATGAGATGTCCCTGGTACCTTTTTCATAGGCTTTTTAGAGTTTGGGCAAGGACACAGGAGCCCCATGATCCCCTATTGCCCGGGGGCCCCATGAGTTATCAGTCCGCCCCTGCACTGGCACATGTAGCTGAATTACTTGCCAGCTGACATGGTCTTTGGGGAAATTAAACAACTAATAATCGAATTACAACATTTCATGAAACCTTACATCTTTATTAGAAGTTTGGCAATATGGAAGGGAGAACCAGATATTGAGTGAGGATTGGCAAGAGACATAATCTAGAGATCAGGCAATTGATGGTATTAAAATGGCAGACAACTTCACTTGCAAAGGCAGTGTGATGATGGTGTGAGAGATTGTATGTAGTAGCTGTGCATCACAATGTGCAAGCCTGTGCGGTTGATTTACTAAAACCAGACCAAAATCTGATGCGGCATGGTAGCCAAACAGCTTCTAGCTTCAGCTTGTAGACAGGTGCAGTCTACCTTCTCCACTGCAGATAGCGCTCAACTGCGATGGCATTGCAGAGGGAGAGAAAAACAATGCTACTCTATGGTTTTCTGGGTCACTATGGTGTTATGATCCGCCAGGCGGAGCCTTCCAGCTGCCAACTGACAGACCAACCCAGAGCGTGGGGTCTAAGCCCGGGCTGTGCCTTCACCAGGGCCCCTGATGGTGGGGATGGACTTGAAACAGTCCCAGGCCAGGTCATGACCTCTGAGCGGGCCCACCAGCGGCTGAGGAGGCCTCCGGGGATGTGTGTAGGTACCGGGAGAGCCAGATATGAAGAGGATGGCGGCCCCAGCAGGGTGGTACGGATAGTGGTCCCGTGTGGTTAAGCGGGGTACCGAATCGGCGGGCAATAGTCCGGGTCACATGCAGGGTCAGCCAGGTAAATCAGTCCGTAGAATAGTCAGGATAATCCGAGTCAAAACACAGGAACGGGCAGAATAGTCAGGACAAGCCGGGTCAATCACAGGAGCGGTAGAATAGTCAGGGCAAGCCGGGTCAATCACAGGGGCAGGCAGCGTAGTCAGGGTCAAAAACAGGTCACAAACGGGTGCAGGAACTCAGGATCACAGGAAGACCTTGCGGCAATTGGTAACAGTGCAGGGCATCTTTAAATAGTGCGCCCTGCACTGTCATTGGCTGGCTAGGACGCGCCCCCGGCTGTCATTGGACGCCTGAGGCGCGCCCGCGGGCTCTCTACTGCGCATGCGCGGCTCCCTGTCAGCCGCGGCTCGCCGGAACCTAGTGCCCGTGTCCCGGCGCGATCCGCCGCACGTGCGCATGCGCGGGGGACGGCGTTGTGACACAGGAGTCCGGAGCCGCGATCCCTGACATATGGGAAGTTATCTGGTTGGATGCAACCACCGCATGTGGCTCTGGTGGCCATCTTGGTTTACACAGGGTCTGTTTAAGGCCCTGGCTTCTAGTTTGGCATGTATTTGCCAGTGGGTAGTGTGGGGACATGTCACATGTTTGTCAGGGAATAGTGGTAGGGAGAGGTTCCAGATGGGTAGGGACATAATAGGGACATGCCATCCCTCCTGGAATCCTCCCATTTGGGTACAGACTGGTCAGGCCTCTGAAACAGACACTGTTGGCATGTCCAAAACCTGCTAAGTTCCACATCCCCTTTACAACCTGTGAGTATTCCCAGATGGGTGCTTGCCCACCGGCCTGTTTGTAAAGTTGAATTGTGACTTAATACAAGATCTGTTTACTGCAACTGGACTCTGTGTGTTTACTACCGCCGCAGAACACTGCACCTCCCCACAGGCTTGTTCAATTAAACTTTGATAAAAACTGGAAGTGAATCACAAACCTGCATAATAGCTACAGTAAAGTAGATGAATGACATTTTGATGTTTCTTAGACACATGAGTTCTCTCCAATTTGATCCTCTGTATGAGCATTGGCTGTGCACATGCTTTTCCTTCATGAAAAGGTGGATATTTATTATTTGCAAAAGTATTCAGCATTTGGAAATAGCAATAGGTTAGTGTTCTAGCCTCTAACTGTCACTTGCAATCTATAAATGTGTTATGAACAATTTAGCACTATATTATATTAGCATTATGGTAATGCCATAATCTAAAAAGTAGATACTGAGTTAATCTTTGCTATTTTTATCATTTGCCTCTGCTGCAGTATCTATTATTATTATTATACAGTATTTATAAAGCGCCAATAGTTCACTCAGCGCTGTACATTACAAAGGGGGACAGAACATGTGACAGAACAACAACAATGCAATGCAAAACATGAGGGGATCGGGGGCCCTGCTCTTTCGAGCTTACAGTCTAGGAGGGAGGGGATGGTGGCACAGGAGGAGATAGCTGTGGGGGATGGGGTGGTAGGAACAGTGGAGGAGGTTGGCAAGTTAGCAGGGGGTGGGGTAGGCTTCCCTGAAGAGGTGGGTTTTCAGGGTGCGCCTAAAGGAGAGGAGAGTAGGTGATAATCTGATGGGTTGGGGCAGGGAGTTCCAGAGGATGGGTGACACCCTGGAGAAGTCCTGGAGGCGGGCATGGGAGGAGGAGACCTCCCTGGTCTACTAGAGAGAAGGAGGTCTTGTGAGGAGCGGAGTGTGCGTGCTGGGTGGTACTTGGATATTAGGTCGGTGATGTAATTTGGGACAGTACGTCAGTATTAGGGGTGGTGGAAATGGAGCGGTTGAAAAAGTGAATGAGTCTGGCAGCTGTATTCAGGATCGACTGAAGCGGGGATAGCCAGCGGCGAGGCAGGCCAGTAAGGAGGGAGTTGCAGTAGTCGAGTCGTGATATGATGAGGGAGTGGATGAGCTGTTTAGTGGTTTCTAGGGTTAGGAACGTGCGTATTTTGGCGATGTTGCGAAGGTGGAGTCTGCACAAGCTTGTTAAAGATTGGACTTGGGGCTGGAAGGATAGGTTGGAGTCCAGAATGACACCAAGTACTCTGGCCTGGCGTTGATGGTGGCGTTGTTGGATGTGATGGAGAAGTCAATGGGGGGTGGTGTCCGGGCTGGGGGGGGGAAGACAAGAAACTCTCGGTTTTGGAGAGGTTCAGTTTAAGGAAGTGGAGCAACATCCAGTCTGATATGTCGCTCAGTAGGTGTGTAGGAGACTGAGGTGGTGAGGTGGGGGGTTGAGAGATAGATTTGTGTGTCGTCGGCATATAGGTGGTAGTTGAAGCCGTGAGAGTGTATGAGTTGGCCAAGGGAGGAGGTGTAGATGGAGAAGAGAAGGGGCCCGAGGACGGAGCCTTGAGGGACCCCAACAGAGAGGGGGCGTGAGGGGGAGATGGTAGCATTATAGGTAATGCTGAAAGAGCGTTGTGACAGGTAGGATGAGAGCCAGGAGAGAGCAGAATCTCTGAAGCCAAGGGAGTGTAGTTTTTGAGGAGGAGGGGGTGGTCGACTGTGTCGAAAGCCGCAGAGAGGTCAAGGAGTAGGAGCACTGAATAGTGACCATTAGCTTTGGCGGTTAGCAGGTCGTTGGAGAGTTTGAGTAAGGCAGTTTCGGTGGAGTGTAGGGGACGGAAGCCGGACTGTAGGGGATCAAGGAGGTTGTTGTCATTGAGGTGAGAGCTTAGGCGGGTGTAGACTAGGCGCTCGAGGAGTTTGGATGTAAATGGGAGCAGGGAGATGGGTCTGAGTTTGTTTGGGTCATTGGGGTCCAGGGAGCCTTTAAGTCCAATTTTTCCAATGATGACATTTGCATACTACCACACAACATTAGCCGGTACTATTCACAATTTCAGAAAACAGTCTATTTTCCTGCAAAATCCGTGTTGGTCCCATGGTTATGCTGCTGCTGCAACACATTCATGGAAATGCATGACGTATTTTCAATTGATCCTCCTTGGGGAGGAAGAAAAGAGGTACATTCACATCCAGGACCATCACTCTTCAAGGTGGGGAATATCAGATGTAGGAATTTGGAAGCCAATACCTTGACTCCAGGGATAACAAACTGTGAGGTCAAGAAAGGGATACTCAACACTATCCAGTGAAGGAATGGATCACCCAGTCAGACTGCCAGCCTGCCTGCTGTGCCAAAGAAATATCACCAGCTATATTCAAAGGCCTAAAACTGAACTTCTCTTATTTAGCCCTGGTTCACACTGATGCAAATTGTCATGCGATTTGAACTTTCAAGTCGCAAGAGAAATGGCTTACAATGATCGGCAATGGAACTGTTCTAATCGACTTTGTTGGAGTTGCATTAATTAGAGAAGTAGTTCCTGCACTACTTTTTGCCAATTTGGAGTGTGGCTTGCATAGACATCCGTGCATGAAGACATTGGAAGTGGCTGAGCAGTTTTTTTAGCAAAAGACAATGGGCAGGGCTAACAACACTCAGTCCACAAGAATATTTTTTAAAATTTTTTGCACAAATGTAAAAATCTGCATTTTTGACAAAAAAAATACTTAAAACTCCCCAGAACATTATATATTTTCTGAAAACAGAAGACCTGTCAAATAAAAAGATGGTGATTGCAATTTTTATGTTGCACGATTTTTTGCAACTCTTTATCAAATCTATAATATTTTCAGGAAAAAAAATACAATAAAAGAATGTTATTGCGCACAAACACAATTTAATTCCTTTTTTTTTCTTCTAGAAAATAAAAGATGAAGTAGTGTAGAGTAAATGGATACCAAATGTGTCAAACCTCAAAACTGCATGCACCTGCAAAATGATGAAAAATGAAGGTACCCAAAAAATCAATAGGCAGATGCGGTGTGACATTAAGCGTTTTCAGTGGAATTCTGCACAATCACACACGTTCACACACTGATGCGGTGTGACATTTGCAGCGTTTTCAGTGCGAATTCTGCACAATCACACACCGTTCACACGAACAGATGCAGGTGTGTATGTTAACCACTTGCCTACCAGGCACTTATACCCCCTTCCTTACCAGGCCAATTTTCAGCTTTCAGCGCTGCCGCATTTTGATTGACAATTGCGCGGTCATGCAACATTGTACCCATATGAAATTTTGATCATTTTTTTCTCACAAATAGAGCTTTCTTTTGGTGGTATTTAATCGCCACTGGGCCCTTTACTTTTTGCGCTATAAATTAAAAAAAGTGCAAAAAATTTGAAAAAAAAAAAAAGTTTATTTGTTTCTTTTATAAAATTTTTCAAACAGGTATTTTTTCTCCTTCACTGATTTGCGTTGATGAGGCGGCACTGATGGGCACTGATAGGCG